TTGAATTAGTAAAACACCAAGATATAAGAAACAAACAAACTAAATCCTTATTAATATCTATTATAAATTCAAAATTGTGTTTATTTGTCTGTAACCGTATAGCGCCTTAACGGCTTAACCAAACACTATGAAATTTGGTATAAACGTACTATATATATATATGGCTTTTCATCTTGATCAGTACATACTCGTACTCGTATATATCAGTAAAAGCGGACGAGGTCGCGAGTAAAAGCTAGTACTAAAAAAAAACACGTAATCTACAGCAAAATGCTATTCCCGCCAACAATACATCACCCATGACTTCTTGACATCGTACCTAATCCTGCGTAACCATATATCATAAGGCAAATTGACATAGAATATTAGTACGCTCGGAGTATATTAAGTTATTTCGGAGGGGCCGCTGTCAAATTAATGTCTGTCTATACTAAACAGCTTTTGCGTAATTTTGCGGATGTCAAGATAACGTACACGTATGTAATTTACCAATATTTTATTCTATTTTGTACAGGACAGAATTTTTATTATAAGTTTTATGAGCTGAAAAATATGACTGATACAGACAAGAAAATTATGTGATATAGAGGCATTACTTAGTTTTCAAGAATACCAACGCTTAACGGGTACTGTGGCATCATTAAAAAAATTAATCTTCACACTGAAATAATAAATGCGACACAACACGTATATAACTAAGACGGTGGTACATAAACCTAACTAAAGCTTTATCTATATTGGTTCTCTAATAAAATTTATCAAAATAATACTTACGATAACACACCCCTTAATAAAAACAATGAGTATTACAATGGCCCGTAATAGCCAGGGGTCGTCAACCCTCGGTCACTGTAAACTTACTTTAAACAATCTAATAGCCCGCCCCCGATTGCTTCACCGAAAGTGACCAAACCCTACGACGTTAAATCAAGCACAATGGTTTGCTCGTTTTATACTTACTGTACAAAAGTTTATCGAGATATTTGATCTAGAAAGGGTTTGTTTAGGCTTTCTTTATTTTTAAGAGTTATTAGTCCCAGAGCAGTAGTTGTGTTGTGATAAGGATTTTGTAGTCGTTTCTAAACTTTACGGGTGATATAAACTGTAATTTAAATCTAGTATGCAATAAATTTTATATCTACCTTTATTGTACCTATCAATAATATTTTTTTAATATATTTCACCATTGTTTTAATTTTTTAATGTAACTTAGAATGGCAACTTTTTTTTTCATTTATATTGATTTAACTATTACAAGAAACACAGAAGTTGTCTTTAAAATAAACTAGCACTACAAATCAAGTATGTATGTTTATTTCTAAAAGTTTATTGTCTAATACGCCATCACAACAATGATTTAGTATAATAGATTAAAAATTATTGTTAAGTTTGTATGTTTACCGAAGGAAAACTGCATAATAATATGCATGGTAGCTCTGTATTACTCTCGTTTCTGCCATTAAGCACTTACCTAACTACTTATATGACTGTGTTTTGATTTAAAAGTGAGAAGTAGTAGAGGAATTATAAGGTCCCTAATCACATAGTCCTCAATAATATTATACGTATAGAGTACATTGAACATTCTAGAGTATTCTATGGTATTCGTAGTGCGTTCGTATCTATAGACGACGGGTACGACTTTTCATCAAAAGGGCCGCCACTAGTTGTTAAACTTCATTCTTATGATGTAATATGCCTTCGGAAAAAATGTCCAGATTCTTAAAAATTTGAATTTCAAAATTTTTACTGGCATGTAATTCAAAATCATTAAAAGTATTAGTAAATATATATTTAATAATACTTAATACGCAATTTTTTTAAATGCTTTGTAAATAGAGAACATTACTTTTTTTACTTTTTTACTTAAAAGAAAACAGAGAACAAACTTAAAAAAGAATACAGCTAATTCACTCTCCATAAATCGAAAGGACGAAACAAATCACACTGAGAAAATGTGCCATCAAAACAAGAAAACCGTCAACACGTATAAACAGAAGAATGAAGACGTCCATTTCGGAATGGCCTTACTCAGGTGCCAATAAACGCAGACTCGTGGGAGCAAGGCGACTGTAATCGCGCCCGATCGTAAACCAGACCCATCATTGGATCGCTTACAGTGCACCTTCTACTAGGTTTAGCACCCCTGACTGTAAAGGCGATGTGCTTCGTGTTTCATTAGTCAGTACCCTTACCCTAGACCTATGTTCGACTTTGTTTACGACTGAATCTGGATCTATTAAGTTTACAGTTGCTGTTAGACTAATCAGAATCTTCGTAGCTCGTTAATTAACCGTTTATCTTTTGCATAAATGAAGTACTCCTTTGGTTTTGGAGAGAGAGAGAACTCAAGAGGGATTTTCTATGTCTCTGCAATTCTATAAAAATAATTATTATGAATATGATAGCATATCTACGTGGCTTTAAACCAGCTGTAATAATATAGACAATTATAATTAGTAAAGCAAACGTAAAAAAGTAATAATTACTACAGTAATTGTTTAATAACTTTATGAATACGAAACATTATTTATGAAATACCTAATTACATTAAAGATATCTTTTTTAAGTCATTTAACTTTATAAATATGTATCCAGATACATATAAGATTAATTAATTGTCTCTCCTTGTTTACCTAATGTTCTTTTTAATCAATAATTGTTCAATCATTTTTTGATATCTATATCTTAATTTAAAAAAAGAATCTTCTGACTGGTACACGGACTGATTTGTTAACGTTATAGGTACACACAAGGCTCCGGGTGAAAATTTGGTAAACAACTGGTACACAAATATGGAAAAAAAAAGGTATTACAATACTTTTTCGCTATTAAAAAAAGTTAAGGTCAATCGATTGTCAAGTTCCACAGTACAAATTCTAGCTTAATTTGGACCTAGATGACGCTGCACACCACAATATGTCCAGTGGTATTTATTTGTTATGACATAATGTTAATCTACAATGTAAATCTAATACATATTTACATAAATGAAGTCATTCATTGTATATAATACATAATAACGTTTACAAAACAATGTTTATCAGCTTATAATAAGTTACGCACTAGATAATTGTTCAAAGTTTAATCCATTGTTTATTATCTTTAGAGGGAAATTTTCTACAAAAGTCGTTTGCTCGGGCACCTCTGTCCTGGGTTATATAAATAAATAAATCCTGGGTTTGAAAAAGAGTAGTTACAGATTCATTCCATCAACACTTAGTAAATTAGAACCTGAGTTCGACTCTCACTTGTGCGAATTAGGAAACGTAGGTATATTTCTGAAATGGCTCAGATCTGTGTATTCTACTTTATACAACCAGATTTTCGATTCATGGACACTTTAGGTATATATCATAGCTTATCTTAGATACCAACATATAGAAGAGGATACTTCTGAAACAGTTTTTTCATACCTACCTTAGAAGACAGAAATTTTATACTTATTGATAGATAGATAGTCTTATTTCTTCCAAAATATTACAGCAGTAAACTTATTATAGATATAAACAATTATAATTTAACTCCTTATCGCTAAAAGCAAGTATTAGTTACTTATTTAAACCACTGAGTAAAAAATTAAGATTATTATTATAGGTTAGAATAACCTGAAGACTAGTTGTGATTCTCTAGTACTTACTGTTACTATTCCTATAAACAAACGTTTCATCTAATCCCTCCATCTTTTCTTTGATCTTCACTAAACAAAAACAACAAAAACAAATAACCAACCATACAAAAGGTTATAAAATTGATGAATCCAGAGAACATCTCACAAATATCTCTCATCTCACCTCAAATGTAAATTAAGTGTATTAGCAATGTAAATGACGCGCTGAAACACTGGGTCATTAACGGCTCCGCCTGAAGGCGTGGTGGGGCGTGCCCTTGCATCACTCCCACTCAGAGGATGCGGGAATATACCTGTGATATATTTATGGCTCTCAAAAACATAAATAGTAGACTGTATCAAGCTAACAAAATAATATTTTTACGGCGGGGGAACTATTTTGAATGTACTGTACTTTTCATCCATATATCAACAATAAATTTACTACTATAACCTTTTAGATGAAACAATTAAGAGTATCTGTCGCTCTATAAAAGTTAGTATAGGAATTGTTGTTTTGAGTAGCGATTGATTCTTTATCAAATGCGGCCAAAATTAATCTTTTATCAGAGGAAGACTTTCTACAAAACTCGATTGCTTGGGTACCTCTGTCCCATTCGTGTTTCTACCGTGAAGCAGTTGTGTTTGCATATCTGTGTTTCGGTTTGAAGGGTGGGATATGGCGTGAATTTACTGGGTACAGAGGAATAACACCTGAGTCCTCAGGAATGGCAACGCATGGGGGGTATCATGGGCGAAACAGTATACTCTGTTATGTCCATGGTACTGCTCATGTCTATAGGCGACGGTTACCACTTTACATCACAGGTGGGCCGTCAGCTTATTTGCCATTCTAAGTTGTATAAAAAAAAAAAACTAAGAAACTTTCGCATCTTCTTAACAATTGGTGCGATGCCTAGTGCAATTCCAATTTTGCTATAAAAGCAATATTAAGGTATTGATTGCCATAACTGAATAAATATCAGGACATTATAAAAGAAATTTAAATTATATCGGTTTAGCTATAACCCACGAATTTGCTTGTGTGAATTAGTAAAAAATATCCTAACTATTTATCCTAATTTACACGGATAATCGAAGAAATAAAAGTTTATGCAACGTGTACCAAGTTACATAAAAGGTCAGTTATTTGAAAATAACTGAATATAAAAATCTATAATAACGAGCAGAGTTAAATTTATGTAACCAATCAAAATGTTACTCAAATAAAAACAATAGTGCATGTTATATAATAAGATCTTAAGTTGTACTGTATTTAGAAATTGTATTTAGACTTTTTAGGTTTTATATGCAATTCTAAATGAAGCGCCTTTCGAATTCAACTTTGTTATTGCGTACTTCACAACTAACTTCTAATCTTTCTTTACAGTATCCTCGAGCTTCGAAAAGAGAAGAGTCGGGACGCAGCTCGTTCAAGACGGGGAAAGGAGAACTATGAGTTTTACGAATTAGCGAAAATGTTGCCGCTCCCTGCTGCTATCACGAGCCAGTTGGACAAGGCGTCTATCATAAGGCTGACCATAAGTTACCTCAAATTAAGAGACTTCTCCGGACATGGGGACCCGCCGTGGAGCCGCGACCCTCCACCTAGCAGTAAAGCCTTGAAAGGTTTGTCACCTCTGATTTATGACATTTTTTTTCTTTTTATAAAATATAGAAAAGCAAACAAGCTGACTTCACTCCTGAGATAAAATGGTAACTAAAGAACCTCATAGACACGTCAAGAAACACTGCGATGTTCGTGGTCCTCGTGACCTCTCATATATCGTATTTGCCGAGGATTCATCATCTTCACCTTTTTGTCCTTATCATAATTATTTAAAATCTGTGTGAATATGTTTTCATTCATAGTAGCCAAGGTTTTGACTTTTTTTTCGTTCCCGAGGACTATGATCTTCAGTTATTTAATTAGTTATCCCTCCACCTTTCCCCCTACTTCGTGCCCGCGTAATCATAATTATAATGGTATTCGCGTAATCACTATATACTCTATAAGGATTATTTCCACGTGGCTTTCCCAACTATCGTAGTTAGGCGGAAAGGGATTGTTAACAATGGAGTTTGACAACCCCATTGCTAGCAATATGCCCTATTAGGTCGACCTCCACGTGGTTCCTCCTGGAAACTATCGTGAACAATTCTTGTTGAATTCGTCACGATGGGCTAACTGACCGGCTTCATATTCACCTGTCATCCTTCATTGGAGCCTCGCCGGTGTATATTAATGGCACGGGTGGGGTTGTCATTCCATTATCACCCATTAAAAAAAAAACTATCGTAGTTAATTCCTGGTGGATTCACCTGACTTTATCCTAAACGATTATCGAGAGATAAATTAGCATAGTAAGATCTAATGCCCTGCTATTGTAAACCAATAGGCTTAGTTTGAATTTTTAATGTCATTAAAAAATACAACAATCATTTATATAAAACCCATTCTTTTAGTCATTTTAATTAATTATAAATTCAGGCTGAATTAATAATTAAACTGAATAACCTACTCATTAGCCTACCTAACAATGAAAAAAACCTAGTTTATATTGACTACTTTACTGCCTAATCCAACCAAAACACTAGATTTAATATTTCCCACCCTATCATAGTTATGCAAAATGAGTGAGTAGGTTTAAAATAACGGAGGAGGGTCGACAAATCTGATTTTCCTTCGTCAAGTCATTGTCGGTGCTAACCCTGTTACTGCACCCTATCTACGTACAGACAGTACAACAAATAATGTTATATATTACTAATATGATGTATACAATTAACCAAATTATAAAATTTTAACAAATATTTGTTACCTTTAATGGTAACTGAATAAGTAATTAAGTATTTATTGAAATTAATTAAAAAAATTACTTGTAAAAATCATTTATTTAACCTGAAAAAATATCTGTTAACTACTATTGTTTGAATATAAGAAATTTTTTATTAGAAAAATATTTTATGCAATTTTAAAAAAAATATAATTGATGCATTTCTTGAAAAGTAAATAAAACGACCGTGTGGTCCCGTGTGGTCGTAAGAGGCGACTAAATAAACTTAATGGTACAGGGATGGTCAGCAGCGTCTCTCTTAACATCTCTAAACGCCTCACTGCGGTTGCCAACCCGCCCGCCAACCATGGCAACCACTGGCAAAACTATCCTTACGTGGAAGGTTTATGTTCAGCAGTGGACAGTTAACGGCTAAAATGATAATGATGAAATAAAATAATAATATTATTTTTCTAATACAGAATACATGAATTGCGAAAGATATAATGTATGCATTTCCTTTTAAATATATATAATATAATTATAATTAGTGATTATTATTTATCAACACTAGGCACTTAATATGATATAACAAGTACACTACGTGCGATATTGTGAGATTCGCATAAAATATATTGAAACATAAAATTGTATTTTCATCATTAAAGAGAGATGCACAGTGCTGCAAAAAATTTTTGTGTAGATAAAAAATGTGACAACAACAGACAAAAAATACGGGGTAAATCACAAACATTGGCAAGCGAGGCGTGCACGCAAATAAATGCGCCTTGGGGACTCTGATTCACCGCAATATGTCAAACAAATATTACCTATACGGTATTGAGAAAAAAAGCTATTGTTTTAGTGAGTTAGACGCCATATGTGTCTACATTTAAGGTAAAAATAATTTGATGAATGAAAATTTATGCAAAAAATGTATTGAATATACTGGGTATAGGTTATTAATGGTTACTGTTGTAATATTATTCATAGGTATTGATAAAATAAATTTACTTATTCTATGTTGAAAAATCTTTACAAACATTTAGAAAGATCATTATGTTTTTTTCTGTCACTTCATATAAAGTTAATATAATTAGTACTCATAAAAAAATATCCTATATATCTTATATATATATATTATTTCTTTTTTTTAAACTTTCTTAATAAATTATTTTTACTTTTGTTATTTTTTATAAACAGTTACACAATAAGTTTTTGGGAGTTAAAAAAATCAATTCAATTGAAATAAAACATAATGTTATATTACAGCACATTTTGATACATGTGCCGTATAAAAACCTACCGAATAAGGAAACAAAGAAAATATTTGTTCAGTTAATCAGCTCATAACTCACTTTACATACAGCGCAACCTTGACAAAGAGCTTTTTTAACATACACGCCATTCGTAAATTCGTAACAAGTGTACCAATAAAACACCCCACGACAAATCCAATTTTGGCCCCTAATGCGCTTAATGCGACCACGGGGCGAATCACTACGTATGCCACTGTCATTTTAACTCAATTTTCAAACGGGCCATCCTACCTAGCTCAAATAAAAATATTCGAGACTATAAAACATGAGCATTTAGGGGCGTCAAAATTGTCTCACAACATGTTTTGGGGGGTAAATTCTGAAGTTTCAAATATACTCACGTAAGCAATAAAGATTTAAGAAGGGAATTTTAGAAAATATACACCGATACATTGTGGATATGTGTTTGGATTTAACAAATCCAATGATTCACTAAAGGTGTATGTGTAGAAATATTACATACATATCTTATTGGAAATATATTTCATACTTTTTTCAAGCATTTTAAAACTACCTTAAAAAAGTTTAAAAATAATTTAATTACTAAAGAAACAAGATTATTCAAGCTTCATAGAAAGCCTGTCAGCTTGCAAATTGTAAAAGATACAGTCGCTATTAAAAATACCTAATTAATCCGTAGGGCCGGCCCCCAGCGTAACAATACGCCGCGAATTGGGCCAAAATTTTTAATCTAATCAATTAACAATCAGTGCAAGCGATATACCGCTTGTTAGCACTGCTTATTTGGCGAACGTGACTTGGTTGGTTATTCAAATTGTGGCGGGGTTCGTTTGACGATTTCGTCTGTGCCGATTAATTGGTGTTGCCACTGTGCATCTTGCGATTGTAAAATTACCACGGTGTAAATACCAAGCTTTATCAATTTGCCGGTTTCTTGAATGGTATTTTAATTTCGTTCCAGTTACGTAGACTTGTTATTATAGAGGTATTACTTATTTAGAATTATTGCATCAAAATTATAAATTTGCAATCAATCACCTGGCTTCCTTTTAAACCGCATAATTGTGATTTGATGTAGATTTTGATTATAGTACGAGTATCAATAGTGTTGATGTTGTTGTTACGATTCAATTTAAGCAAAATCATAGACATTAGCATTTCTGACATTGTTTATGTGATGAAGAGATTTTTGTCATTGTTTAATTATACATTTAGTTATAAAACGACTAGTAGATTATTTGTATAAGAAGTTAACGGGTGAGATTTGCCCTTCCAGTGAAGAAACCGTCTCGTTACTTTTTTTTTATTACTTCGTAGTCAAGTGAAATCTAAGATATATAATAAGATGATAACACTTTTTACTTTTTGTAGGTTGCTTAAAGTGTTAATGTGTGCATTTATATGCGCTTTGTATGTATTTGCTCTGTACTCATTCATCATTTTTAGGATTTTATTTTGAAATCTTTGGAGAATTTTCACGTGGGAGTTCTTTGCAGAGCCACATAGTTCAATTCCATATGTCCACACAGGTTTCAACTTTATTTTGTAGACATAAAGTTTATTTTCTAGAAATACAGATGATGTCCGATCCAAAAGCTAGTCCAAGATCCCATTTATAAGTTAAGCTAATTCTGTTTCTTCTATATGTAATGTCTACATATTTGTTTATCATCGTGATTGATACCTAAATATTTGGCAGTTTCAAGGAGATTTAAAAAAAATTAATTGACCAATTCATAGTAGATCTTATAAAGCTACGCTACGCTATTAAAGATATCTTTACTTTATCTTGTTAAAAGGAGTTTATAACATTTGTTTCCTAATATTTAAATTAAATATAACATAGAACGAGGGTAATAGTCTGAAAGCAATGAATTGTTAATAGTTATAAAAATAAATTATAAATTGTTTTCATATAACAATCCAAATTACTTGGAAAAGTTTACCAGTCAGTGAATTTTATTGGCTGGATTTTAAACCTTAAATACTTTTTTCGTGATGGTATATTATTCCAAAATATGTAGATTCTTCCACAATAGGTGATAGGTAAAAATATATTTTATATGCAGTCAATAGTAACTATATCTTAATTTATTAGACACACGTTACTTTTTATTTAATACTCTGCCAGGCACATAAAATTAATGCTATAGGTTAATATCATTATTACACCCATTGACTAGCTGACTAATAGGTATGAAATATGAATCATAATTGTTGTAAACAAGAATAACGTTGAATATACATATATTAAAACTTCATAGTAGCTACTGTAATTTAGATAAATTATTATATCGAGTGCATCTATAAAAAATCGATATATCAAGAAATGAATACGATAAATCTGTGCCTCTAGTGAGAAAGGGTTCAATTCAAAATGGTCACTTTTCAGGAGAGCCAAAAAACTATTTTAAATAAAGAAAAAAATTCTGCTGCTTTTATTATTTGCTAATTGAAAAAGTCAATGATTGCATTTATAGTAATTTTTTCTCCTCTTTCTTATGAAATTGTCGGTTTTTGTGTAAAACCTATAGTTTTAAAAATAATTCTATTATACCTAATCACACTTAAC